TCCAACTGGAATTATAGGCGTGAGCTACTATGCCTGACCTCTTTTTCTCTGTTCATAAGCCATTTGTGTTTCCTTTCTATGGATGACTGTCTTAAGTTTTTTGCCAGTTTTTCCATTAGTTTAATAATCTTTCATGACTAATTGGTAAGAGATCTTTATATATTAAAGAAATAAACTCACTGTCATATATATTGAAATATTTTCCCCAGTTGATCATTTCTCTTTTGACTTTGTGTGGTATTTCCACTTCCATGCAGAAAACCTCCCAAAACATTTAAATGCAGTCACATTCACTAATCATTTTGGAATTTGGGTTTTGTGTATTGTTCAGAAAAGTCTTCTCACTTCCAAAAAGAAACACATTTTCCTATATTTACTTTTCATAGTTTTATAACTTCATTTTATGTATTTAAATGTTTGCTTCACCTGCAATTTATGTATTAGATGAAAGCTAGCTCTATTAGATGTGTTCCAGATGCCTAGCCAATGGAATAAGCCACATGCCCTTAGTGGTTTGAAATGTCACCTGTTTCATATTTAAAATTTCAAAGTATTTAAGCATTCATTTAAAAATATCAACTTTGTTATAAAAAATTTCAAACTTATAAAAGTAGATAAAACAATAAGATGAAATCCGACTATACCCATCATTTGGTTCCAAAATTTTCAGCATAATCAATCTCTTCTCCTCTCTCTCCACATTATTTTGAAGAACGTGTTTCATTTTGAGATATTCCAGTGTATCTATTTTAGTTTGTGACTTCCCAAAAGCAAACACTGAGACAAAGATTTGAATGCAAATCCTTTCTTTGTGAACGCCACCCAGGAAGTGGGAAAATGAGGGAGAAGAGGGAATGAAATGTGTAGAGGGAATGTCAAAAAGTCTGTTACCAACAACTGTGGCTTCATCCTGCTGGGAAATGAATGTAAGCCCTACTGATAGACACTCCCTGTTCCCAAGGGGCAAGGAAAGTGGGATATGTATTCATGAGCCCTCAAAGGCATTGGCTGCGGGCTGTGTGGAGTAGGAATGAAGTGGACACATGTGAGAATTCCTCAACACTTCCAGGCTATTGTGCTTGTGAGGCTCTGTGGACCAGAGAAGGCCTCAAGTAAAGGTTCCCAGGTGCTAGGAGTTGGAATCTGGGCAAGTATCCAAAGCAATGGTAACAAAACCTGCTAATATCACTTAAAATAAAGCAAAACCACAAGATAACTATCACAACTAGAAAAATTAACAAAACTCCACCATAATGTCAGACTGTGTTCAAATTTTCCTAATTGTTTCACAAATTTGTTTTGTTTATGCCGTTTGTTAGTTTGCATTAGATTTCAGTACGGTCCATATATTATTGTTTCAACATAATCAATCTCTTCTCTTCAATACCTCCTCCCTCTCTGCATTATTTTGAAGAACTTGTTTCATTTTGAGATATTCCAGATACTTTAAGTTTTAAAATTGCTTTTACTTATGGGGTCCTCACCTCTTTTTAGAGATTATTTCTAAACACATAGTTTTTGCAAAAGAGGAAAATCATGGGAAAAAATAAATACAAATGAATTTTAGGGGGCCTAAGTAATACCCATTCCCCAATTTTCTATCTTTTTTAGATGTAAGTAAATTTAAAGGAAAAGCTTCTTAAGATTTTTCTCTCTCAGATTTCCTTAATTGTTTTCTGTTTTATACTTGATTTTTTTTTTAATTGTTTGGGATTCATTGAAGGTAAAAACAATTAGGTTACACGGATTGCATTTGTTAGGTAAATACCCTCTTATAATTGTGTTCCGCCCCTAAGAGGTGTGCCATACACCATGACTCCGCACCCCCTTCCTCCTCCCCTCTCCCTGCACCCTCATTCCCCTACCACCTACCTTTTACAAGCTCATCCACTGCCTTTCTATTAGAATCAAGTACATTCGATTCTTGCTTCTCCGTTCTTGTGATGCTTTTCTAAGAAGAATGTATTCCAACTGAATCTTTATTCTTCTTTATCAAACTCTCAAGTATTACTTTATAATCTCTTCTTGCTTTTTAAATATGATAATAACAGCTAACATTTACTGAATATAAATAAATGTATCAAATATCTACTAAGCTCTTGACACGATTATCTTATTTAATCTTAACAATAGATCTATTAGATATATAGCTCTATTTTACACCTGGTAACTCATGCAAAAAAGATAAGTAATCCAACTCACGTGCAAAAATACTCCAGCTCACAAGCACGTTTTTTTCATCCTACCTAAGGCTCTTTTTCTTTGTATTTTCCTGTTTTGAGGGAAATATATTTTTCTACAAATATATATTGTACACCTTGCACCCAAATTAGTGTCTGTGAAAGATATACAAGAGTTAAAAACTACATTATAATCTTAAAACCAAATGACACCAAGAGATAGGATATGCATCGGCAAATAGAGGAAACTGAAAACAAGTGCAAAACAGTCTTTTATGAATTACATAGTCCTCAGAGCAAAAAGAATGATGATCAGTGTGGTCAGGAGCAGCCACCAAAGGTTTACAAATATCTCCATGTGGGGTTTTCTTATTGGGTTAAGTGCTAGACCTGTGGGCTGACTTCTGCCACTTTGACTCGATGGTAAAAACCATGCTACCTTCATGTCTACAAAGGCACATTTCTCTGGCTTTTACTTTCTTTGATGCCCAGAATGATGAATTATCTTACCCCAGGTCACACAAGCAGTCAATGGGAATAGTGAAGAAGACAACTTGGCTGGCTCATTAGCTGGGTCTTCCTTAGGTCTTTACTCAGCAATGCTTGATGGTTTTCAATGTCTAGGTCTCATGTGTTTTTATTAAGATATCCCGAAGTAGTGTTTGATGATATGGTAAGGGCAAGTTAAAAATAATTTTATTTTCCACTAAGTTTTTGCTGCTATATAGAAATATAATTGAATTTTTTAATACTAATCTTTTTCCTGTGGCCATGCTAAATTCCATGATTATTTCTACGTGTTGTGATGTAGATTTGGTAGGATTTTCTACATAAGTTTTTAAAAATATATATATATATAATATACATATATTTTTTTCTTTTTGCATTTTTTCTTTTTTTTGGCTGGGGTTGGGTTTGAACCCACCACTTCTGGTATATGGGGCCGGTGCCCTACTCCTTTGAGCCATAGGCGCCGCCCTGTAATATTTTTTACAAGGCAGTTTTATGTCTTCTTTTCCAAATCTTTAAGTCTTTGTTTCTTTTTTCTTTTCTTACATTATTACATTGGCTATTACTGCCAGTACAATAATAAGAGAAGTAGTGAAATCAGACATCATCTGTATCATTCTTAACCCTAGGGTGTGTTTAGTATTTTACCATAAACTTTGTCTCTATTTTGTTAAGAAGTTTTGTGATATTAGCTTTAAGTTTTTTTTTTTGGTAGTTGATCTTTATCTCATGAAATCCCCTGATATTCTGTTATTACTTGCATGCCTGGATGGTTTTTGTTTGGCTGGGTTCTTTTTATTTATTTATTTTTTTTTTTGTGGACAGGCTATCACTTGCTCAGGCTGGAGTGCAGTGGCGTGATCGTAGCTCAGTGTAACCTCAACTCCTGGGCTCAAGTGATCCTCCCACCTCAGATCAGGAGTAGCTAGATCTTACAGATGCATGCCACCACACCTGGCTAATTATAATTTTCTTGTATGACAATATTTTTTACATTGTTACCCAGGCTTGTCTCAAACTCCTGGCTTTCAGTGGTCTTCGACCTCCGCCTCCCACAGCACTGGGATTACAGGAATGAGCCTCTGTGCCTTGTTTATTTGGTTTTTGATCATAAATTCATTTTGATTCTGGCATTTGTACTTTCTACATCTATTGAGTAGATGTATAATGATTTACATATATGTATATATGATATATGTATACATATATTTGCCCCTTTATGAGTTTTACCCTTTATTCTCTTAAAATGTTAAAATCATGCACTTGTCCCCCTTTATTTTATTAAAATGGTGATGCACATTGACTAGTTTTCAGATGTTAAGCCTGGGACAAATTCCAATAGTCATGACAGAATATCCTTTTTATACATTGCTAAGTTAACTGTTTCTATTTTGTTAAGAAGTTTTGTGTCTGTATTCATGAGAGATACTGGTCAACAATTTTCTTTTCTTAAAATGTGTGTCCATTTGGTATCAGGGTTCTGTTTTCCTCATAGAGAGACTTGGGAACTATTTTCTCCCCTGTGTCTAAAAGGTTTCTGTAAGGTTCCTTGTTCTCCAAGGGTTGAGAAAGAAATTTAAATATATGTATCATCCCGTTTCCTGAGATGTTTACCTACTGTATAATAATAGTTCATGAGTAAAAATATTTTGTAGCATCTATAGATTATATTTATCTATATATTGTGATTACTCATCTTCTCCTAAAATTGGCACAGATATTTGGAGCTTCAGAATAGTAATCCAAAGGCAATATTTATCATGTACATATATTTTTGTTTGAGCAATATATAGCACCTAGGAAGTTCTTCTCTGGGTAGGTACAGAGTGTTCCAAAAGTTGCCCATAAAGTCACAAGACATAGGGAAAATGGGAAATTGTTGCCGACTATATCTTTATTTATAAAGTATTCCCTACTAATTTTAACAAAGAAGTGGCCAATACATAGAGAATATTTAGTAAAATTTTGTAATGAATACTTTGCAAATAATGCTATATTTAGCTACAATTTCCCATTTTCCCTCTGTGGTGACTTTAGGGGGGACGTTTGGAAACAATCTGTGGTGTGTGACAGCCAGCTTTAAGCACCTTGTTGTATCGTTTCATAACCTAGAATATCTAAAAATAAAATGTCTAAAAATCTATTGTCCTGCTTTTCTTTTTTTGCAGTTTTTAGCCAGGGCTGGGTTTGAACCCGCCACCTCTGGCATGCGCCCTACTCCTTTGAGCCACAGGCGCCACCCTCTATTGTATTGCTTTTTAATCAGTGTAACAGGAAATAAGAATACTAAGATTTATTGAAATTCACAAATGCACCAAAATCTTTATTAAAGCCGGGTTTTCTAAAGATTTTCTTCAGGATCGCCGAGGCCAATTTCACTCAAGTCTCATCTCCTTTTATTTTCTCCAATCACTGTTTTTCCAGAGTGCAATGAGCCGTGGAGTGGCCAAAAGAGAAACAGGGAAGAAAAAAGAAGAAGCAAGTTCTTAGACACACAGTGAAAAAAGTAAGTGTTGAAATAGTTGAAAACAGTCGTTCCTTTTCTTTTTGCTTCGTTGAGACCTGTGAACTGCAGCGACTTCCAGGATTGAGGCAGGTCACAGGTGATGTGGTGTTTCTCGGTTTTGTTTTCTTTCTTTTTCACTTTGTTTTGCTCTTGCTTAGATAACAACAGATAAATAAACATGAGAAAAGAGATGTGGAGATTGAAACTCCAGACAACAGATGGTCAGATAAGAGCAATTTCTTCTAGATTAGTGTTCTCCAGGGAATATTCTCATGACTTATGCTTTATATTTCTGGAAAAATATATGTGTCTAAAATATGATTGGCCTCTTTAAATAGGGGGAGAATTAGAACAGGTATTTAGGTTATGATTTGGAATTCTATGAACATACAAATGATTATAAGACCTCTTGAAAGCCAAGAATTGTGTAATTTGGTGCTTCTCAAACCCTGATAAAAACAAGACACGACACATACTTTGGTTAGGCTTGGACAAACAATGCCCGAGAGCAAGAGAGAACCCTGAACTGGAGAAGGGGGATGAGGAGCCAAAGGGCGGGGAGGGGCCGAGTTGTTTTTTTTTTTCCTTTACATGGAAAACATCTCAGGATGAGAGTGGAAACAATATTTTGAACAAGTATATTAAAAAATGTTGAGCAGGCACATTTTTCAGTCATGTTTTGATGAGAAACAGATGTAGATGCTGTTAAATCATGTCAAATATGAACTGCCTGTGCGCCCCGTGTATATGTATAAATATTTGACTACAAAAACAGTCACAGGAGAACTATTCTGCAGCAATCTTAGAAGCAGGAAACTGCAAATTATAGGTCTGAAATTTACCATGCGTGGTTTATGAGTCCGATAAGTAAAACTAAATGAAAAGACGCTGAAAGTTTTATAAATAGTTCATGTTTTTTGGTAAAGGGAGGGAAGGGAAGAGATTAGTAAGAACTTTAATATGCTTCACTCAAGCACAGTCAGTACATGCTGATAAGCCGTGTACAAAGAATATTATGATAGGACTTTGGTATACATTTAAACCTAAGGTATATTAGTTGTTATCACCTTGCACAGGCCAAACTACTGTGGAATTATAACCTATCTTCAATTAGGTTTTAAAGTCAGCATATAAGGCAAAAATTATATATATTCAGATTGATGCTGGAAAGTTCTCTTAGAAGTTATCCAGTTTAAGACAGACATACAGAGGTCTGATAATGCTGCCAGAGATGGGTCTTCTTATCTTCTGAATGTTCCAGATGATGACATTTGCTTTTGATCATGAGCCACAGGAGGAAAAAGGCAATTATTGACATCAGGTGCATATTGTGTGGAAAATATATGTTGTTAAAACCGAAAGTGCACTAGGATTGTAGGCAGGTAGAAATAAAAACAGACTTGTGCCTTCCATCTCACCACTAATCTGGGGCACATACGTCTTAAAGGGAAGACTGGAATGATTCTGCTCCATTTTTTATTTTTAACGGGTTTTCAAGTTAAAATTTTATCTCATCAAAATAATATTCTCTTACCACTTTCTGTGCTTTATTTTATTGAGGAATGGTCTTCATGTAGTGAAATGCACAGGTCAAAATCTACCGAAATGAGCTGGGTCCGTCGGCTCATGTGCGAAGGAAAGCCAACTGCGGAGGGGCTTGAGCTGTGTAGATGGGGGCTGTCGCCAGGCGACCAAGCAAGGAGATAGGAGTCACTCAGATCTTTCTCCCCAACTGGCCTTACAGCAGATTTAAGGGAGGGGGTTTAGGGGTGCTCAGTGACTGGCAGAAAGGAAGAAGAATTTAGAAACCCCGTGGGCTTGCCCCTTTGTCTCTTCATGCTGTGTCATGGGCCATATGTACACATTTGGGGGGTGAAGAGTTGGTATAAAACATGCAGATTGTGAACAAGTTACTTGTTCATCAGGTGAGCAAGTTTACCTGCCCAGGCTCCAGTCAGCTATGTTGGTTCCAACCTATTTCAGCCAATTTCAAAAGCAGAGGGCATTGTAACAAACAATTTCTTTACTTGCGTCCCACAAGACAAGCTCATGATTTTTGTTGGTTCCCTGCTTTTTAACCCTGCAGTGCATGGTTTTGATAAATGCTATGAGTTTTGATAATGCATGCATTCATGGAACACAACCATTACCTAGAAACAGAATGGTTCCCTTCATGCCCTTTGCAGTCAGTCCCACCATTCTCCTCTCCTTGCCATCTTGAGCAGTGGATCTCTTGAACTTACTCCTCGTGTCTAATCGAAATTTTATATCCTTTGTCCAACATTTCCCCTGCATCCTCCAACCTCTGATAATCAATTTTCTCCATCCGTGAGTTCAACATTTTAAGATTCACAGATTATTGAGGATTTGTCTTTCTGTACATGGTTTATTTCATTAACAAAATGTCCCATAGGTTCATCCATGTGTCACAAAGTATAGGAGTTCCTTCTGTTTTAAAGGCTGCCTAGGATTCCATTGTGCATTTTCACCACATTTTCTTTATTCATCTGTTGTTAGACACTTAAGTTGATTCTGAATCTTGTCTATTGCAAATAATATTGCAATGTATGTGGGACTGAAGATATCTCTTCAATATACTGACTCATTTCCTTTGGATATGTATCCGTAAGTGGGATTGCTGGATTGTGTAGTAGTTCTAATGTTTTTAGTTTTGGAACCTCCATACTTTAAAATGGCTGTGCCAGTTTACATTCCCAGCAATAGTGCATAGAAGTTCCGCTGGGTTCCCATTTCTTCACATCCTGCCTGTACTTACGATTCACCTTTTTGATAATAGTCGTTCTAACAGGTGAGAGGTGATAGCATTGTGGTTTTTATTCGTTATTCCCCTGGGGTTTTACATCTCTTCTTCTGAGAAATGCCCAGCATTTCTGAGGCTGAAGTCCACTCATGGGTTTTAGAGAACTGAATGTGATAAGAATTGGGGCAGTGGGAACAGAGTCTTTCACAAAGGTTGACTGAAGGAAAGTGAACAACATAAGCACTGACTCAAGTAGCTTTGGCGAACAGGATATTTTATTTTTTATTACTTCGTTTTGTTTTGTTTTGAGACAGAGTCTCAAGCTGTCACCCTGGTTAGAGTGCTATGGCATCACAGCTCACAGCAACCTCAAACTCTTGGGCTTAAGTGATTCTCTTGCCTCAGCCTCCCAAACAGCTGGGACTATAGGCACCCACCACAATGCCCGGCTATTTTGTTGTTATAGTTGTCATTGTTGTTTGGCAGGCTCAGGCTGGATTCAAAACTGCCAGCTCCGGTGTATGTGGTTGGTACCCTAGCTGCTGAGCTACAGGCGCTGAGCCTGAACAGGATATTTTAAAAGGTGGGTGGGATTTAGGAATGATTCTGGATTGAGGGGAAAGAAAATAGAGAGGAATTGTCTAAAGGTACAGGGCAGAGAAGCAATGATAAGTGTCTCTTCTCCAAACATGGTGGAGGGATTGGTCTTCAGCAGGAAATGCTACATGGCAGATACATGAGGATGGTCCTTAACTCCTCTATGGGTGGAGGGATTGGTCATTAGCAGGAAATGCAGCCTGGTGATACATGAGGATGGTCTCTAACTCCTCTGTGGGTGGAGGGATTGGTCTTCAGCAAGAAGTGCAACATGGCAGATACATGAGGATGGTCTCTTAATTCCTCTGTGAAGAAAGGTAAGATGGTTGACCACAGGACAGCAGGGAGAATGTGCTGGATATGAAAATGGAAATAACTATTGGAGTCTTTCATCAGTGAATGGTGATTAGAGACACATCGTGAGCTCCTGTTACATTTCAGGTACTGTCTGGGGATTAGACGGTGATCCCTGCCACCACAGAGTTGGGGGACAGGCATTAATCTCAATTATGCAAATATATCCAAATTGGTGACATTGATAAATGAGGTGAATGAGGGTTTCTGATGTTCTGAGACCATTAATGGGTAGTTTGATTCAGACAACGAGCTCAGAATATGTTATCTGGGAGAGATGGAGAAGTACTAAGTATATGGTAATTAATTCTTATTAGTTTTTCTTCTTAATTTGGAAATCACATTATTTAGAAGAGATAGTTATTTTAGCAAACATTGACCTTCCAAAACTTTTCTCATCTGAGGTGACTTGACATGTTTTTAAGGGAAGTCCTTTTTTTTTTTTTTTTTTAAAGAAAAACAACAAATATACATGTTTACACTTTTAAAATGAAAGAAAAAAGGATTGTGTGACTCATTTTTAATAGATTGTCTTTGTGTTCTTGACTTGCAGATATTATACCCAATCACACATAATTTAAATTGAAAAAGTCTCATCCTGTATAAAACTGACAAATCAGAACCTCCTAAACCCACCTTATGAATAATCTAGACATTGCTGATGCTGATCCCCTCCCCACTGTACTATAATAGGATCTAAAGTATTTATGATTCTTTTATAGTCCTTTCATACAATGTTTTTTTTTTCTTGCTTTTGTTTATTTTCTAGTGTCATTGACTGATTTTTTATTTTTTTATGAGACACAGTTTCAGTTTGTCACCTCTGTAGAGTGCTGTGGGGTCCTATTCTGGGCTCAAATTCTTGGGCGTAAGCAATTCTCTTGCCTCAACCTCCCAAGTAGCTGGGACTACAGGTGCCTGCCACAGCACCCAGCCATTTTTTTAGAGAGGAGGTCTCACTCTGGTCTTGAACTCCTGAGCTTAGGCATTCCACCCGCCTCAGTCTCCCAGAGTGCTAGGATTATAGGCACTTGGCCTCTAAGAGTGCATTTTAGAGTAGAATAATACTTTTAACAGAAGGATGTGTTCTTTTAGTGTTTAGTTCTTTTAAAAGCAAATGTTACAAAAGAGGAAGGGAGAATGAGCCGTTCTGTCTCTACCCCCCCAACATTACGTCATTAAAATTGAAGAAGTTTAGCAAGAATGAAAAACGAATCTGCTGGTCTAAGAGCAGACAGACTTATGCACCAGAAATCATAGGACAATGTGAAATGAGCTGCTATAGTCA